CGGGGCGGCCGGGGAGCGGGGCGGGGCAGGGCCGGGCGGGGCCGGGGCAGGGCATGGCCGGGGAGCGGGGCCCCCGCAGCGGGGGCAGGGTGCCGTAGGGTGCCGCAGGGTGCCGCAGCCCGCCCGCTGCCGCCCCTCCCGCAGCTCCATCCCGGCCGTGCCGGCGCAGCCATGGGGCACCCGCCGCTGGAGTTCAGCGACTGCTACCTGGACAGCCCCGACTTCAGAGAGCGGCTGAAATGCTACGAGCAGGAGCTGGAGCGCACCAACAAGTTCATCAAGGACGTGATCAAGGACGGCAACGCGCTGATCGCCGCCATCCGCAGTGAGTCCCGGCTCTGCTGCCCCGCGGCTCCGCGCTGCGACCGGGATGCAATAGGGAACAATAGAACGACGACCGGTTTTTCTCTATTTCCAACGCTCTCTAAATAGGAATGCTTTTTCTGGAATATAATTGCACCTCGCTGCTTCTGGAGCGTGTTTCCCGCAGTGCCTTTAGGAGAGCTGTGCCTGTTGTGTGCCGGTGCCCACGCAGGGCTGCTGAGCTCCCGCACCGCCTCTCTTAAGGACGGCGGAGCTGCGCTCGGTGAAGGCGCTCCGTGTCCTTCATAGATGGAGCACGCAGGTTCCTGAACGGGGCCCGACCGGCACGGCCAGCCTCTGCAGTCACGGCATCAGAGCGTCGCAGAACTGGGAGAGCTCAGCCCACAGTTCTTCTCTTTGTGCATGTATTGTTTTTGTTTCTTTCTGAATAACGATGAAAGCGGTATCAGAGCACACATAGACTTCAGTGCCGGCTCTAAGGGAGCTGCTCATTCAGGAGCACTGAGGCCCTCTGATCCCCAGAGGGGGTCTACTGTGTCCCAGCCCCACACCTACTGCCTTTTGTCCCCACTTTTCCCTCTGGCACCAATGCATGTTCTTTCCCAGTACTGTCCCTCGCATCTCATCTGTTACTGTAGAAGCTTAAAATAGAGCCCAAGACACTGCTGCTAGTGCTGTGCGTGCATCAGGCCAAGGGGAGAGAGGAGAACCTGCAGTGCAGGGTGTGTTTGTGTGTGTGCTGCGTTCCTTGTCTGCTTGGTTTTAGTTTGTGTTAGCAGGTTTAGCAGCCACCCTTTTGTTTAGAGCAGCTCAGGGCTCTGCATTACTGGGGCTGTGTCTGGCATAGCCTGTGTGTGCCCATCTGGAAAACAGCTGTAACAAAGGCTGGCATGGCCCAAACACCGGCGTCACAGTTTGGTGGGATGCTGGTGTCCTGCAGAGGAAGCCAAAGATCTCTGCTCAGATCAGGAAAAAACAACAAAGAAACAACAGCAAATCAGAACCCGGTTGTTCTCGTCAGACCTGTCTGCTCTCTGAAGGCTCTGAGCCGTTTAGGTTTTGTGTGGGAAGGGTTGTTAGCAGTCACCAGTCTTACAGTTAATATTTCCAGTGAAAGGTAACAGATTCTCCTGTCTGTAGTTGACAGCTGACACTGAAACGTAAAGAAGAAAGGAAGAAAGTGGTGGTGAGGGTGGAGCTGAGGGAAGGATGGGAGGGGACTTGTGAGGAGGGGTGCTGTGGGACCTGGGGCTGTGCGTTACACATGTGTAACAACCAGATTAACAGCGACGTGGTGACACAGGAGGTGCAATGACAAAAGGACCAGTGCAATGGGAAGGTGTGACAAAGAGAAAAGGAAAGTGCTCACCTGTCTCTGAAGATCTCAGCTGACAGGAAAACTCCACAAGGAAGGAATTTCCAACCAGAGGTCTTTCCCTAGCGGCACTCAGCCCTTAAATGGGGTCTGAGAGAGGTGCAGCCACCCCTCCCAATCACACAGCTGAACTGCCTTCACCTGCGCTCCCAGGACTGACCGGTCCTTTCCCCAGGTGTTCAATCAGTGGTGCAGGCTGGGACTCAACGGTTTCCATACAACATGGCAGCATCCACATGGTGTATGGAGAGAAAGGCACACTGGGCCTGCTGTGCATGTGTGAGCTGCTGCCAGCAGTCTGCATGTAGACCCAAACCCTGGAACTGCCCAGAGCCGTCTTTTGTTTTCCATTTGTCGAGTCATAGGAAAAACAAGTGAGTGTGAGTCTGTGTGAGGATCTGCAGAACCCTGATTTACGGGCTGCAGCTTTGGGCTGTCGGTACCTGGTGCACACATGTCCTCTCCTTGCAGAAGTGTCTGGCAAGCTGAAGTTGCATGGAGATCTTAAGTGTGTTCTGACAGAATCTGAACATGAGAATCCTGCCTGGCACCAACTTTAATGTGGTAGCAGCAGCTGGGCCTCCAGTGTCTGAAAAGTGCTGTTTCAGTGACCTCCACTGAGGGTTTTTGGACTGTTCACAACAGGACTGAACGTGCTGGGTTAAATGCCTCCAGCAGGAATGTGCTGGTGCTGGGTGCGCAGCTGTAACAGAGCTCCCCACGGCTGGTGCTCATGTCCCTGTCCTGCTGCAGGGCAGGTGAGGTGTGACACCGAGGGGCTGGGGGCAGTGATGTGAGCCTGGTGGTCAATGCATTGAGCCCCAGCCTTTCATGGGTACTGGAGAACTGAGCATGTTGGCATTTTCCCCCATCCATCACTGACGTCTTACTCATTGAAATACAGTGTGTGAAACCCTCCTGAGCACCGTACAGCCTCGGATCCCACTGTCTGTTCCTGTGCTGGTCCCACTGCTGTGTTGCTGCTGCTGTGCTTCTTTGTCAACCGGAAAAAAGAGGGAGTTGTCTGTACACGGGACACACTGAGATGGCAAAGCAGAAGGTGGTGCCAAGCAAGAAATAGGACTAAAGCAAAGCAAAATATTGGGCAATTGTGATGATCTTAGACTTCAAAGATAGCAAAGAAGTTACTTTGAGACAAAATAAGAGATATTTTTGTTGCAGAGTTGGCCGTATCTTTCCCTATTCGTGCCAGAAGTGCTCAGAGCTGCTGGAAGTGCCGAGTGACGGTTTCAGTCCCCCGCGCTGCCCTCACGCTGCAGCACGCACTGGGATGCCCTGCACTGCTGCAGCCATGGCCCCCCGAGCTGCAGGGCTGCCCCGAGCTGCAGGCAGGCGGAAGGACGAGGAGCTCCGGGTGCACTGCCGGTGTTTCTCCTCCCTGGGAGTGCCGTGTCGTGAAAGGCAGAGAGCCACGTGTGCAGGGCGGCTCTGCAGTGCCGTGCACATCTCTTCCTTGCAGTGGCAGTGCCTGACACAAGCTGTGCGTCAGGCAGCACTCGGCGAGGCAGCCTTGTTGTCCTAGCAATACATCATTCACATCATTTTCTTTCTGTGGCTCGGTATGCTGCCTCGTCTTACTTTTTGTTGTTGTCTTGGCGGGGCTTGCAGCTTTCTTCTGTGTGTGTTGTTGTTTATGCAGAAGCATCCGTCTCTCCTGGTCTTTGATCTTCTTGTGCGATTGCATATCAGGTGGAGTTTGATAAATGTCAAGTTGGGGCTGTTTTTATTAATTGCGAGCGTTACAAAGGTCTGAGCTGGCTTTTGAAGCTGAAGAGCTTTGAGATCTCATGCAGATGTTGCATACATGCTTTTGAAATCCATTTCTGCACAGTGCGTAGTTTTGCAAATTGCTTCTGAATTTGCATGCCAGTTAAGCAGCTTCTCCAGGCAATGTGAGCGTTTCATCCTGGAAAGACAGCGCTATGAAGGAATGCACAGAGGTGTCTGTGCCTGCAAAGTGATTTGTACCAGAAGAGAGCAGACTGGTGTTTGTCTCCACAAAGCAGCTGCTCACATCCATCGGTGCCATGCAGCAGCCCAGCAGCACTGCTTGGCATGGAGATCTGTGCCACCAGAAGTGCAGGGCCGTCAGAGCTCTCAACAGATCCATGTGCTGCCATAAGGGACAGTGTTTGAGGATTCAGTGCTTCTGAGTACAGAAAGCAGTGTGTCAAGAATATGAAATACTGTAATGAGATTAAAGCAATCCTGGAGTGCCTGTCTGATTCCTGCAGAGCCCCCTGTGCTATTTCATGTGAAGTCTGTAGACAAAGGCTCGAACCCCTTGAGCGAGATTTCTGGCTGTTGGCACGGTGTCGTAGATCCAGACACTGTTTTTTCTCTATGTGTGAGCAAGGCTGAAGCTCCTCTGCAGAAGGGAGGAAGAGGAAGGTGCTCCGTGCCCTGCGTGCCCCTCGGCTGCTGGCACTTGGAGTGCTGGAGCTGTGTGGGCAGACGTGAGCTCTGTGCTGGGCGCCGAGGTGCTGGCAGTGAGATACTCTGTACAGAGCATGAGCCAGTGCTGCCTTAATGGATGTGCACGGAACCCCTCTGTGTGTGTTCACAGAGCCCCTCCGTGGGGGTGCACTGTTCCACAGGGGGGCACAGAGCTGATCCATGGGGGGGTGTGAGCCCCAAGTCTCACAGAAAGCCATTCCTTCAGCTGCCTGTGGGGGAACCTGGAAGCCAAGCAGGGTTTGTGTAAATCATTCACTGGTCAGGTGCGTGTGAAGAGCTGCTGTGCACCCAGGATCATTGTGCTGCTTAAACACGGCTCTGTTCTCCTCTCCTCTGCTTGTATCCTCGCACTTCCCTGTGCTCAGAATCATAGAACCACTCAAGTTGGAAAAGACCTTAAGGATCATCGAGTCCAACAATGACCTAGCAAAGTTCCCTGGCTCTAATGACCTTCCGCCAAACCAGCGCTCGGGCAGCGCTCAGCACCTGAGCTGTGCACTGAGCTGTGCAGGAGCAGACCTGCGGGGCTGGGCAGGTGCTGGGAGCGTGGGCTGGCTCCGCTCAGCCTGGCCTGTCTGCCTGCCCTGTGTTTGCCATTGCAGCAGCACAGGGACGTGTTATCAGGAATGATAAAAGCAGCTTCCGAGGAATGTGTTTGGGATGCAGAGCACTGCAGGGAGCCTGTCTGGAGCTGCTGACAGAGCAGGCGGCTCTGAGTGCTCCTGCGTGAACTGCTTCAGTCCCGTGTCCAGAGCCCAGCCTTTTCACAGCCCGTGAGGTAGGGGGCTGTGGGAAGCTCCTGAGGCACAAAGCTGCTGTTTGCCCCCGATGCTTTCTCTTTGGCCTGTTCCTGAAGCAGGGAGCTGCCTTGGGATGTCCCTGGGGCAGGGATGGCTCACTGCCATAGAAACACCTTCCCCCCTCTTTCCTGGAGTGAGTTACGATATAGCAGTTCATGTTAAGCTGTTCCTGGACTTCTGCAGGGGAAAAATGACTTGCTGGAAAATACAGCACTCCCCTCCAGCAGTACTATCTGCTTACATTTTCCTGCTCCTTGCTGCTCTTCTTCAGCCAGGGCTGCTCGGATGCCCACTGGCACGTGCTGAGAATTCCTTCCTTGCTTGGCTATTGCAGCCATCATTTTCCAACACTTGTCCTAGCCCTAATAAGAAGGTTTTTAGAATTGTGTGGAGTTACTATTGATAACTTTAATTTTTTTCTCCTAATTTCTCAGCTTTTATTGTCTGAAAAGATAGCAAACCAGCTTAAAAACAGTAAATTACATATGGGACACCTCTTCGATCCAGCAGTTTACACTCTGTAAAGTAAGGGTGTCGAGGACGTACTAACAAGGACCATTCACATCTCTGCCTCAAAGAGCACAGGAAGAGAACGAGAGCCTTCACATAGCTTTGAAGGGAGCTGCGTGCTCCTGAGCCCCTCTGTGCAGCGTCCTGCTGTGGGGTGGGATGGCAGCAGGGGCAGCAGGCACGGCTCAGCACATCCTGTGTGTCTGTACGGCGTGCTGCAGTGCTGGTGCGAGCAGGGGGTGAAAGTGCTTTGGCTTTGGGTCACCGACATGGCTGGATGTGTGTAAAGGTATCTGCCACACCTGGTTCCTCTCACCGAGAAATCTCATCATTTTTTTCCTTCGGACCTACCTCTGCCTTCCTGAGGGAGTGGAACTCGAGCCCTAGTGCAATGCTGAGGCAGTGCTCGGCTTACAAAGCACTTTGTGTGTCCGTACGGCAGCACAGAGCTGCTCCCGTGCCACTGCCAGCTCTCCCTGCTGGCACTTCTGTTCCTGTGCCGCGTTCAGACAGGTGGATGAAGGGGGCTCCCCACAGCCCAGCAGGCAGCAAAGGAGCTCATTTTCCTGGGATTTAGGCGCCGTGCACAGAACCAGAGGTCACAAGTCGGTGTAAACCTAAAACAGATATGCCTTAATCAGAAGCTAACCAACGAAGGAAACAAAGCAAGCTGCTCCCAAAACCTAATCTGCAGAAGCAGGCAGGAAGGAAAAGGAGCATGCACAGTATCTGTGTGCTCCAGGAGTGAGGCAGAACTTTCCCTTGGGCTGGAGCTCCTTGCTGTGCATTTGTTAGATTTTGTTTTGCTGCTGAGCACGGCAGGATGAGCTGGGTGGCCTCGTGCCCACGCTGCAGCTCTGGGCAGGGCTGCTTGCTGCTGGCTGCAGGCGCCTCCTGGGGAGGGTCTGGGGTGGGAAGCGCCGGGCAGCTCTTCCTGCCTCTCCCCGTCCCCTGGCGCTGCAGCACAGATGGTGCTGGAGCGTGTTGTGGTCCAGTGTCATCCTGCTTCAAGCGAGCCAACACACAGTATTCTGGGGGGGCTTTTCCCAGCACGGGTCTGCACCCCAGTCTACTTCCCAGTGCTGTGCCATGCAGGAAAGCAGCACCCATTGCACAGGGAGCTCAGCCAGCAGGCACACAGCCACCTGCTTTCCTGGGAAATGGGGACGATCACAGTGTGAGAGCCCTGAGATCAGCTGCGAGCGTGGTGACGCGGGCAGGATCACAGCACTGGGGAGCTTTCATGTGTGTAAGTGC